TCCTGACATACCTCTCGGTCGTTTCTTGTGAATTCCCCATCACCCTTCCTCAGTCTGATTACCTGGTCCTTGACTGTTGTTTTCCTCCTGATGTGGCTGTACAACAGCTTCGGGTCAGTTTTGATGCTATGTCATTTTCATATTGTCTCTGAGCCTCCCTTCTTATCTGTGCATATTCGTTTCTGGCTCTTCGGCTGATTTCTTTATTTTCTGAGTTCTCTGTCTTCTGTACCTTTTCCATTCTCTAGTACACCTAGTTTTTGCCTCCCTACACCTTTGGGTGAACCAAGACTCGTTCTGTTCTTCCCATTATTTCTGTTTCCCTTGGGAACAAACCTCTCCTCTGCCTCCTTGCATTTTGTTGCTACATAGTCCATCATTTCTTGTACTGGTTTTCCTGTCAGTTCCCTCTCCCACTGAATGTCTTGAAGGAAGTTCCTCATGCCTGAGTAGTTCCCCCTTTTGTAGTTTGGTTTTTCCCAGCCTATTCCTGCTACTCTCTCCACTTGGAGCTCAACTATGTAGTCGAAGCACAGAACCACATGATCACTAGCTCCCAGGGGCCTTTCATACATGATACCCTCGATGTCCGAACTACTCATGGTGAATACAAGGTCCAACCTTGCTGGTTCATCCTCTCCTCTCTCTCTGGTAGTGTCTCTAACATGTTTGATGCATGAGGTTCTCCAGTACCACATCCATCATCTTGGCTCTCCATGTTTCGGGACCCCATGGGGCTCCAGGTTTTCCAGTCAATCTCCTTGTGATTGAAATCACCCATAACTAGTAACTTTGCTCCCCCCATGTGTGCTCTCCTGGCCACCTCGGCTAGTGTGTTGATCATTGCTCTGTTGCTCTCATCGTATTCTTCTCTTGGCCTCCTGCAGTTCTGTGGTGGGTTGTACATTACTGCAATTATCACCTTATGTCCCTCAGACTGGATTGTTCCTACTAAGTAGTCCCTTTCGCCCATGCCATCCATTCCTTCCATTTTCTCAAAACCCCACTGGTTTTTTAATGAGCAGTGCAACTCCTCCTCCCCCTCTCCCCCTCTGTCTTTCCTGAAGATTTGATATCCGGATGGAAAGATTGAATCTGTTATTATTCTGGTGAGTTTTGTTTCTGTGAATGCTATTAAGTCTGGGGATGTCTCTTTGATTCTTTCGTGCCACTCCTCATACTTGTTTGTTATTCCATCTGCATTTGTATACCACACCTTCAACTTCTTTTCTAAAACTGTGGTCTGGGAAGTATATTGGGGTTGGGGAAGTGGGAGACCTGGTAAGGAACTATGGGTTGTTGCTGTGGGGGTGAAGTTTGTAATGTAGTGGGTGGGGGCATTGGATGTGGCATGGGTGTTTTGATTTAGAGTGTTTGGTTGCACTGGGGTTGACCTGGTTGGGAGGCTTCTATAGAAAGTTGAGGGAGGCTGTATTTGATCTTCTTCCTGGGTCTGGGATCTCCTGTCTGTCTTCTCCATCCCCTCTCTTTCCTCCTTTCGCCTTTGTACCATCTCTCTCAGTTTCTTCCTTTCTTCTTGTGTTCTGTCGCGGTCGAGATACACCCTCCTGTATGCCGTCATGTCCCTTAATCGTGCTTTCTCCTGCAGGATCCTGGTCCGAGTCGCCTCTGCCTTGAAGGTCACTCTCACTGGCCGGGTTCTTTTTTTTACAAACCCCCCTATTCTCCGAAAATTTTCCAGCTGGGTCATATCGTCTTCTCCTATTGCTTTCATGATGCTTTCAATTGCTTTTTTTTTCCCTTGTTTTCTTGCTTCATATGTTTCCCCTTCGACTTCCTGGAGCCCATACACAAAGACTGACCTCACCCTTTCATTCTCCCACTGCATATCCCTGTTTATCCCCTCATTTAATTTGGTTTCCTCCACTGCAGCTTTCCTTTCATCAGTTTCACTGGCTAATGTAATTGGGCTCAGTGGCCTGTCATTTTCCCTTCTCGGCTTTCCTTGGGCTCTGTTGTTGTCTGTTAGGGCCTCCACATAAAGCTTAGCTCTTTCATTTGCTACAGTCTCCTCTGATAGAGCATCTCCATGCAGTTGTGCCCCTTCTTTCCCTACAGTCCCCTTATTTGTGGCTGAGGTAGCAGTCTCTGTTGTCAATCCCAAAATGTTCTTTAGTTCTTTAGGCTGTTTCAGATTTTTCAATTCCTCTTCTAAACTCTGTATCCTAGCTTCTGCTGCTTTGACATGCACCTCCCACTTCCTGCTTTCCATATCTATCCTCTCTTCCATTCTCATGCTAAGTTCTTCTAGTTTCTTTTCCCATTCATGATCCCTTTTTATGAGCTCTGCTGCCCAATCTTCCTTTGCATTTTCCTCCTCCTGTCCCTTGGTTTTTCTTGTTGCTCTCTGGCAACCTTAGCCTGTCGTATACCTATGTCTTATTTAAATACACCGAGAGGTGCATAAATCTCAGCTTATATACACGGATGGAGGTGAAATGAATACCGACATGATGGAAAAACAGACACATAGGGTTTTCAAAGCTTATTCCTTTGGATAACATTGATAATGGGTTGGGTGAATATTTTTGTTAGTGGGTTTTTGACAAGGACTTGCCAAGTATGAGCCAGTAGGCATGCTGTAGTGTTCCTCCTTTCTTCTATTCTCATATGCAATTCAGTATTTTATTGATAACGTTTCGCCCTCACAGTGGGCTTTATCAAGTCAGAGAGATATACTTGGAGAAAGAGGACGTGCGTAGACAGAGAGCGTGAAGTGTCAGGCGACTTATTTCATCAGTCTGCACAAGAAGTCAGTTTCAATATTCCTCATCTGATTCTTCTGTCACCACGCTCTCTCTTTCTCTCTCTCTTATATATATATATATATATATATATATATATATATATATATATATTATATATATATATATATATATATATGTCGTGCCGAATAGGCAGAACTTGCGATCTTGGCTTAAATAGCAACGGTCATCTTGCTATATAGGACAAGTGAAAATTTGTGTATGCAATAATTTCGCCAAAATCATTCTGAACCTAACTAAAAAAATATATTTGATTGTGTTTGTTTAGTACTAAATTATTGTAAACGTATTTAAAATATATTTAGTTGGGTTAGGCTAAAATAAATTACTCTTGTTATAATAAGGTTAGGTAAGTTTTCTAAGATTCTTTTGGTGCAAAATTAAAATTTTTTACATTAACATTAATGAAAAAATATATCTTTAAACGTATAAGAGAAAATTTCATAAAGGACTTAATTTTAAATGAGTTCTTGCTAATTGACCAGTTTTACATATTCGGCACGACATATATAATATATATATATAATATATTTTATATATATATATATATATATATATATATATATATATATATATACATGTATAATATATATATATATATATATATTATATTATATATATATATATATATATATATATATATATCAGAATTGTTGAGGGAAAAAAGGTGAGTGGTGCGTTGAGGTATATGTGGAGTCAAAAAACGTTATCTATGGAGGCAAAGAAGGGAATGTATGAAAGTATAGTAGTACCAACACTCTTATATGGATGCGAAGCTTGGGTGGTAAATGCAGCAGCGAGGAGACGGTTGGAGGCAGTGGAGATGTCCTGTCTAAGGGCAATGTGTTGTGTAAATATTATGCAGAAAATTCGGAGTGTGGAAATTAGGAGAAGGTGTGGAGTTAATAAAAGTATTAGTCAGAGGGCAGAAGAGGGGTTGTTGAGGTGGTTTGGTCATTTAGAGAGAATGGATCAAAGTAGAATGGCATGGAAAGCATATAAATCTATAGGGGAAGGAAGGAGGGGTAGGGGTCGTCCTCGAAAGGGTTGGAAAGAGGGGGTAAAGGAGGTTTTGTGGGCGAGGGGCTTGGACTTCCAGCAAGCGTGCATGAGCGTGTTAGATAGGAGTGAATGGAGACGAATGATACTTGGGACCTGACGATCTGTTGGAGTGTGAGCAGGGTAATATTTAGTGAAGGGATTCAGGGAAACCGGTTATTTTCATATAGTCGGACTTGAGTCCTGGAAATGGGAAGTACAATACCTGCACTTTAAGGAGGGGTTTGGGATATTGCAGTTTGGAGGGATATGTTGTGTATCTTTATGCGTATATGCTTCTAAACTGTTGTATTCTGAGCACCTCTGCAAAAGCAGTGATAATGTGTGAGTGGTGAAAGTGTTGAATGATGATGAAAGTATTTTCTTTTTTGGGGATTTCTTTCTTTTTTGGGTCACCCTGCCTCGGTGGGACACGGCCGACATGTTGAATATATATATATTATATATATATATATATATATATATATATATATATATATATATATATATATATATATATATAGATAATATCCGCACGTCCTCTCTCGCCAGGTAGATTTTGTGACTTAATAAAACCCATTGTGTGGGCGAAACGTTGTCATTGAAGATAGCAATATACTGCATATGTCTGTACAGTGAGGTTGCTCTACTTCCTTAGATTCAAAATCATTGATATATTACTAACGGGAATGCATTGTTATTCTGTATTTCGTATTATATAAACTATTGTATGTATTTAAATTAAATTAGTATTAATTGCATTTCTTTTGTACCTCACATTTAAGTTAGTCACTTAATATTATTAGCAATGAAATTTCAAAACATTTAATATACTCCAATTAAATATTTATTAAGTTAACAATTGTCTTAAATGCTACATAGAAATTGCAGTCTATGGAACACTGTGCCAATATAATTCTCTCTATTATTACATTGCTCATGATGCAGCAGTTAATGCTCCATTATGTTATTCTTGCTGTACTAATACTATCTGTTACTCGTAACATGTCAGTTTCGTGAACTTACTAGCATACTACTGCTAATGCTGTATCATTATATTTTAAATAGTCATGTATTTTTTTTTAATCTGAACCTGAATCTTGATGACGCTTGTGGATAACCTCTTTGTTAGGCTGTCAGCAGTCTAATATTATCAGTGGTACGATGAAACAAAGATTGATGTCTAAAATTTATTAAAGCACACAAATTACAGCCAATAATTCCTGATAAGAAACACTGATTTGTTCGTGAAATTCTTGGGAATAGTTATTGAGGGTTTATTGTTCGAATGAAGTATTAATTTTGAGGTAGATAAACCTACTTTGTTTTCTTATGCTGCTATTTGAGTTTCAGATACGGCCAGTCGAAGGGATGTTCACTCTTGATGTTAATAGTGGAGCAACAATTTTTATTATTATTGACGAGTAGGGGAGTTAAGCTCAGAAAAAGGCAATGTAGGAGGAAACTTCGCTGATAAATTTCTGCAAAGGAAATAGATATAGCCGCTATCTTCGTTCGTTCGGTAGAGCTATCTGTGATAGTAAACGATATCCGTTGAAGAGCTGCGTTGTTTTAGGTCTGGTGGAGTTGCCTGAAGATCAATTGATGGAGTAATAGAGGCGAGGTGGACAATCGGAACATGAGGCAAGATTTACAGTTGGTTGTCAACACTTACGCCACGGCGCAGACGGGCAAAGTCCTCGAAGACTATGTCCCCATGCTCGTTCTTGCCAGAGCCTGGGAAGGTAGAAGATTGTGTCAACATACCTCTTGCTTAAGGAATTAATGTTACAATACTATGGCTGAGACAGCTCACAGATAACATACAAGCTGGACGTGAAAAATAGACAACGTTTAAGGTCGTCTTGAACCATTAGTCGTGAGTGACTTAATATTTTTTTTCTAGGACAGACCGAAACGTCGTCCAGTTTTCATTTTTAATTGATAAGCTAGTTTTGAATGAAAGTTATTTAACGTAGTTATTATTGTATAAATTTCTAATGTTAGCAAAATCGCTGATGAAAGTCACAGTTCTTTTGAAGTTTGAAGGGGAAACTGCAAGTTATTATAATAACCATATAACTCTCAAGAAAATAGATGTATTCTTGATAGCACATAAAATTAAGACAATTTTAGCTGGTGGGTGTATTATTTATGAGTGTATCTTAAACAACGTGATCAGCAATAATTATAAAAAAAAAGTGCTACCTGAATTCACTGAATGGCATAGTGACTTGCTCAATAATTAAGCAGTGACTGTGGCACTGGTGCTATGTATTTGTGGTCAAGTTTCACTGGCTTTCTGGATCTAGGTTTTCCACGCCAGGATGTCAATATACTAACCAGGGCCTGGGTGCATGAGCTTCAGTGGGAGGTCAGCCACCAGCTCGCCGCCCAGGGCACCGCAATTAAGACGCACACGGGCGCTGTAAGACACCACAATACCCAGAGCGTCGTTGGGACCCTTGCCCTCCCGCAACACCGTAGATGAAGCCAGGTTAGCGTCAGTGTCCTGTTATAAGAATCACGTTTACTCGTAATACACACACATTTCTTTTGATATTCAAAGATCTTACGTTGATTTCAGTATTCTAAAAATAGAGCATATGTTTAATTGTATTTTGTTTATTTAGCTGTTTATAAAGGAGCAACGGAAGCTCGATCTTCGTCCGCTAGTTGCTAGACAGACACACTACCTAACAGTAGCTCATTCTATCTCTTTAGATTTAAAAAAAATGTTCTATTACATAATAAATTACAAAAAAATAATATATGTACCTTAACCTTGCCATCTAGGGCGATGCCGAACCTGCTCTTGTTGGAAGCCAGTGGTGTGATGTGGAAGGTCTTCTGGAAGCGACCACCTGGCTGGATGGGACAGCCCTCGTTGGTCTGCAGTGAGGCCACCTGCAACCATTATCAGAGCAAGAAATGTAACACGGAGCGTTATTCTTGTTTATGTTTCATTTTTAACATGATTATTAAACATGTATGTTAATCATCACTCTGGCAACCCGGTCTCATATCAGGTCTCCTTAGTTGCAAAGTGTATTTGGTGTTTATCAGTGAGCTTAAAAATCCGTCGCTTTAAATTACAAACCATCTACAACTGACTTGCTGGTGGCTTCTCTTCACAATTCTTGTCAAGTTTTTCTTGAATGAGTTTATGGAGTATTGTAGTACGTTTACTGCCCGTTGTTCAATTGGTCTTCAGTGTTCAGGCAATATATTTATTTAAGTACCTAACTTTGTTCAACTTAAACATGATAATTTAATAAGAATCCACTAAACCCCTAACATCCTCGCCCAACTTTCAAAGTGAAGACACAATATGCCTCACCCTAAAATTCAAGCCTAGTTTGATTTTCCAAAATGAATTTGTCCTTTCGATGGAAATTTTTGGTCAATGGTCATTTGATCGAGGCCTTGATCTGGCTCACCGGTCCATTGTGTAAAAAAAATATATGTCAAATATCAACTGCATGTAAAAACGAGGCTCACTACACAGTAGCGTCCTAGAGTGTTGGTGGCATTTTGTACGTCAGGAAACACTACAAGTGTCTCCTGATACTCATGTTTGTCAAATAATGACCTGGTTAGGCATCCGCTAGATTTACACCATTTAAAAAACACGCTACCTAATAGCCCTAAAAATTATATTTTGCAGTTGTGACTTTTACCCTCTATTATTATTATTATTATTTATTATGAAAGATTCGCCGGTATTCTCCCGGCCCGGGCCTTTTCCAAGTGGAGGCCCGGCCTTGGCTCTCTTTAGGGAGTGCCTGAGACCAAAGTCTCCCATGGGAGGAGGCACAAGTACCTCCTCATCTTTGGGACCAACTGTCCCCAGGCCTAGCCACAAGCTAGGCCTCTCTGGTCTGCCATCCCCGCCCCAAGGGGACTAATGGGAATGATAGTCTTGTGAGCTGCAAGCTCGGACTCAGGCACCTACCCTACCCTAGAAGGGCTGAGCATGGATGTCAATTTTTTACCCTCTCTCGTGTATGTTATATATATATATATATATATATATATAATTATTATTATTATTAAATATTTATAAAATAATATTATAATATATATTACAAGTCGGCCTTCTCCCACCGAGGCAGGGTGACCCAAAAAGAAAGAAAATCCCCAAAAAGAAAATACTTTCATCATTCAACTCTCACCTCACTCACACTTAATCACTGTTTTTGCAGAGGTGCTCAGAACACAACAGCTTAGAAGTATATACGTATAAAGATACCCAACATATCCCTCCAAACTGCCAATATCCCGAACACCTCCTCCAGGACTCAAGTCCAGCTATATATAATATATATATATATATATATATAATAATATATTATAATATATATATATATATATATATATATATATATATATATATAATAATTTTTGTGTGTGTGTGTGTGTTGTGTGAAGGCAGGCCTACCTACCTCACGGGTGAACTGACTGTTGGTCATGGTGACCTCAACGTGCTGCACGATGGAACACTTCATGCCCTTGACCGTCTTCTTGCTGCTGTTGGTGATGACCACACTGGGTGTGATCTGCTCCCCATGGTAATACACTTCTTTGTCAAGTGTCACTTCCATGGTGAGGGTACCAGAGGAGAAGGTGAAGTTCTTGCTGACGAGGGTGCTAGGCTGCCTCTTGCTGATCTCAAGGGGCGAGTACTGCACCTTCCTCACGGCCAAAGTGACGGAGTTCCTCCTGTGAGGCTTTTCTTCTTCAGACTCCGCGACATATACCTTCAGTTCGTAGATCACTCCCAGGGGTTTGGCCTGTATAAGAACACAATAATGAAGGAGCACTGCAGTAGTCCTTGTTTTATATGCACTTTAATTAAGTTCAGAAATATCCGTTTCTTTTACAGACCGGTGGTGCTCATTGTGTAGTTTGATGGACAAACTTAAAAAAAAAAGTTGCAAAGAATAACAAGCAGAGCAAGAAAAGTGAAATAATAAGCAAAGATTATGTTGCTGTATTGTAAATACAACAGGAAACTGACTTAACCAGTATATCGCAACTTGACTACTACTTTTGCTACTACTATAATAATAATAATAATAATAAAAGAGAGTGCAAAAATTATAGGGGGATAAGTCTGTTGAGTGTACCTGGTAAAGTGTATGGTAGAGTTATAATTGAAAGAATTAAGAGTAAGACGGAGAATAGGATAGCAGATGAACAAGGAGGCTTTAGGAAAGGTAGGGGTGTGTGGACCAGGTGTTTACAGTGAAACATATAAGTGAACAGTATTAGTAAGGCTAAAGAGGTCTTTGTGGCATTTAGGGGATTTGGAAAAGGCGTATGACAGGGTGGATAGGGGGGCAATGGGCAGATGTTGCAAGTGTATGGTGTAGGAGGTAGTGTTACTGAAAGCAGTGAAGAGTTTTTTACGAGGATAGTGAGGCTCAAGTTAGAGTATGTAGGAAAGAGGGAAATTTTTTCCCAGTAAAAGTGGGCCTTAGACAAGGATGTGTGATGTCACCGTGGTTGTTTAATATATTTATAGAGGGGGTTGTAAGAGAAGTAAATGCGAGGGGCTTGGCAAGAGCGTGGAGTTAAAAAATAAAGAATCACACACAAAAGTGGGGGTTGTCACAGCTGCTCTTTGCTGATGACACTGTGCTCTTGGGAGATTCTGAAGAAAGTTGCAGAGATTGGTGGATGAATTGGTAGGGTGTCAAAAAAAAGAAATTAAAGGTGAATACAGGAAAGAGTAAAAGGGTTTTGAGGATAAACAAAAGATTAGGTGATGAAAGATTGAATATCAGATTGGAGGGAGAGAGTATGGAGGAGGTGAACGTATTAGATATTTGGGTGGAGTGTCAGCGGATGGGTCTATGAAAGATGAGGTGAATCATAGAATTGATGAGGAAAAAGAGTGAGTGGTGCACTTAGGAGTCTGTGGAGACAAAGAACTTTGTCCTTGGAGGCAAAGAGGGGAATGTATGAGAGTATAGTTTTACCAACGCTCTTATATGGGTGTGAAGCGTGGGGTGATGAATGTTGCAGCGAGGAGAAGGCTGGAGGCAGTGGAGATGTCATGTCTGAGGGCAATGTGTGTGGTGAATATAATGCAGAGAATTCGTAGTTTGGAAGTTAGGAGGAGGTGCGGGATTACCAAAACTGTTGTCCAGAGGGCTGAGGAAGGGTTGTTGAGGTGGTTCGGACATGTAGGAGAATGGAGCGAAACAGAATGACTTCAAGAGTGTATCAGTCTGTAGTGGAAGGAAGGCGGGGTAGGGGTCGGCCTAGGAAGGGTTGGAGGGAGGGGGTAAAAGGAGGAGTTTTGTGTGCGAGGGGCTTGGACTTCCAGCAGGCATGCGTGAGCGTGTTTGATAGGAGTGAATGGAGACAAATGGTTTTTAATACTTGACGTGCTGTTGGAGTGTGAGCAAAGTAACATTTATGAAGGGATTCAGGGAAACCGGCAGGCCGGACTTGAGTCCTGGAGATGGGAAGTACAGTGCCTGCACTCTGAAGGAGGGGTGTTAATGTTGCAGTTTAAAAACTGTAGTGTAAAGCACCCTTCTGGCAAGACAGTGATGGAGTGAATGATGGTGAAAGTTTTTCTTTTTCGGGCCACCCTGCCTTGGTGGGAATCGGCCGGTGTGATAATAAATAAAAAAAAATAATAATAATAATATAGTAGGGTATTACGCGACAATCGTAATTTCATGTTATCGAAAATTCAAATACATTTGACTTCATTTATTTTATTATTTGCAATTAGTTCACCATGAAGGTATCTTACCGTTTCTTCGGAACCGGGGTGGAGTTGGACTGAACAAGGAGCGTTGTCAGGGAGGGAAACGGCGAAGGGGTAGGCATTGCCCCCCAGTTTCTTGAGGAGCCTATCCTGTACTTCGGTGGGGTTCAGCTTCTTGGTGTTAGGGAAGATCTCTTGGCAGGTCAACTGCAGCTCCTTGCTGAAGTGCAGCCCCATAACCTCGTCCTCCTCGCGACCGAAACGGTACGTGACCGCAACCTGTGGGAGAGGTGAAAAAGTCAACATTACCGTGGCTCCACCTGTGGGGCAAAGTGAGGGATAGTGGTTTAGAATGAAGTAATTTCCCATGGTGCAAGGTAGTGTCGCTGTTTGTCTTGATATATATCATGTATCTGATCTACTCGGAGGTGAGTTGCAGTTTTTTTTATGATCCATTTGTAGTTCTCACCACTGCAAGTACTCATCTAAATGGACCCTTGTGCAAAGGTTTGGATGAGTTACCCTGAGCATATTAACACCAGTGAGGGAATTTCTTTCAGTGGCACGATCTCTAATGCTTGGAATATCAAGTTCTTTCCTTCTTAAATCACAACCAAGGCTCCGTCTTAAAGCCAAGCACTATGCCTTAGGCTGTAATGATGCCTTAGTTACACAACCTTCTATTTCACAAATGTATGCTGATGGCTCTGTTCATCAGTCCGCTAGTGAAGCACGTAGTGCCGCTTTTGTCATAAAGAGTAATAGCTATCGTACAGAAACTGGAGCACGCATCAACATTTGGTCTTCTACCCTTCAAACTGGATTGTTTGCTATACTCCTTGCACTCAAATGCTTTCATGTATCTATGGTTGGCAACTTAATTCTAACTGATTCTCTATCATCCATAAATGGTCTTAACTCTATGAGGGTCAAGTGTGGCATTCTTGTGCCAAAAGCTAGACACAGGTATGGTAAAGCTTTAGGCAGTGGAGTCAGAGTATACTTGTGGATTCCATCAAAACTGGTCTTCAGATGCATAATAGAAATGATGAATTAGTAGAGGCATATATATGCCTTCAAAGGAGGGAGTAGATTACAATCTTGGACTATCAGTTAATAAAACGAAAAAAAACTGACCCCAGTCAGCTCATCTATCATCATTCTGTTTTGCAGGGGAAGCACATGTTTATGGTGCATCCAACAAAATGAACAAATGGATGTCACTACTGCCCGGCTCCGGCTGCGTTACAAGTATCTCTGGAAAGTCACGTCAGCATCACCAGCTGATGGAAGGAACTACATATAAACTCGGCCAGATGACCTTGCGTCATTATGTGCTCGAATGCGATAAAACTAATGAATTCGGAGACTCACAAATGTTCAAGAAATGTCAAAATGTCTTATCTATAGTGGCATATTACCAACTATTCTTGAAAAATACCCTAACTTTTGCCCGTTGTGAATAAATGAAAACTACTTAAACTTGTTCAAATTCAACCAAGTCTTGCTAAAATATAAGGTATTATAAATAATTCAAAACAATGTATGAGCTACACTATAATATCGTTTTGAGAATTCATGTCTGTATAAATAACTCATTACTATTGTAACCAGATATAAACAAGTAAATGGTTCATTACCAGTGTAACTTGCTTTATGAAAATGTACTCTATAGTGTAGGGATAGAGTAATGGTTAATGACTTTTAACTTTCCATCGTGGAAATAGTGCAGGGATTTAGATGTACTTCATGTTATAAACTGACCCATTCCAAGACCTTTTTTGCCCCTATGGCTGTATAGCCCTTGTGGCTTAGCGCTTCTTTTTTATTATAATAAATTTTGACCCTATGATTTTTGTTGCCTTATTTTTTATAGACTTCATGATTTTTAAAAAGTGAGTCTAAACAGTCGTTATTTCAACTTACGAGCGATTGGCAACCACTCGCTCCCAAGTCTGGAGCTACACAACTTCACATCTCTCCTCATTTTTCCTTGGGAATGAGGGGTCTCTGATTGGTTACTGGAAGATGACAATGAGTTTCCCTGCTGGCTAGAGGCAATTTCAACAATTTCATGTGTCCAGATTGGGCTCTGGAACCTCTCCAGATGTGTGTTCTTAAGGAGGTCTTAGAATGCTAAAGAATTGTATTAAACACCGTGTGGTCGTGATTTGATGAAGTTCTACACAGAGCGAAACGTTGTCTTCCTTAAATGGTTTCTCTTATAATCTGGAATATGACCTACACGTGGAGCTAACATGAGACTTACGGTAGCGAAGACCTTGCGGCCATGGAGGTAGTCATTGTCGACCACTACTACACCATCCACAGGTTCAGTGGAGCTGGTATTATCCACGAAGTCACGACGACCTAAGTACACAGTGATTTTACCTGTGGAGGTAAAAAAGAAAAGATACAATTCTGCAGTTATCATCAGTTAAGAATAGTGGGAAGACATATTGTGAATGAAATTTTAATAAATTAAATCCAACATGAGAACTCTATACTTAAGTACGTTTCTTAAGAAGTAAAATCAAGTTAGATTAGGTTATGTTAGGTAAGATTAAGTTGTGTTAGCTTAGGTTAGGATAGGTTAGCTCGGATTAGGTTAAGGGTTAAGTTTCAAAGATTTTCAATTGTCTTGGTTTTAATCGATGAATGTACTTTCGAATTCCTTACAGATATCAGAATTGAAGTTTCTCAGTTCCTGCCTTTACTAGTACATTTGTTAAACTTAGGCGGCTCATAGGTCCGTGGTAGTGCCTTGGCTAACAATCAAACGACCGGGTTTAAATCATGGGGCGGGTGGGGACGTTAGGTATGTCTTCTTATACCTGGCGCCCCTGTTTACCTATACAAAAAATAGGTACCTGGCTATTAGTCGACTATTATGAGTCTCATTCTGGGGAGGTAATATAGGTAAGAGTTGGGTTTTGATATAAGTTCAGATAAGACAGCAGCTCTTAGCCTGTAAATCAATCGGTGTAAACATTCTCGTCTTGGAAATACACACGACTAGTCCTCGTCCTGTCTCTTAACGTCTCTTCTCCTGACCATACTTCTGGCTTCCATTTCCTCTCACATCGCAACTTCATAATGATTCAAGACTAAACGAGACATCGCCAAGTTTTTTCTCAAAAGTGTTAGTTCTGATTTGTTCCAGCCATAATGTTGTCACTTTTATTCTGAATTATAAGTGTAAAACGACTTGCATTGTATAGCTCATCATATACTCTAGCATTGCATTATCAAATTTACAAGATGCAGGAATAAAGTAGAATTATATAAAAAATATAAGCAATGCTTATACCTGACTCTAAGGTCACCGCATCATTTATAATATATATATATTATATTAATAATATATATTATATATATATATATATATATTATATATATATATATATTTATAATATATATATTTTATATTCAACACACCGGCCGTATCCCACCGAGGCGGGGTGGCCCAAAAGGAAAAACAAAAGTTTCTCCATTCACATTTAGTTATACATACAGGAGAAGGGGTTACTAGCCCCTTGCTCCTGACATTTTAGTCGCCTCTTGCAACACGCATGGCTTACGGAGGAAGAATTCTGTTCCACTTCCCCATGGATATAAGATGAAATAAACAAGAACAAGAACTAGAAAGAAAATAGAAGAAAACCCAGAGGGGTGTGTATATATATATATGCTTGTACATGTATGTGTAGTGTGACCTAAGTGTAAGTAGAAGTAGCAAGACGTACCTGAAACCTTGCATGTTTATGAGACAGAAAAAACACCAGCAATCCTACCATCATGTAAAACAATTACAGGCTTTCATTATATATATATCATGTAAAACAATTACAGGCTTTCATTATATATATATATATATATATATATATATATATATATATATATATATATATATATATATATATATATATATATATCAACGCTGTTCATGCAGAATAAGACAAGCGAAAATTTATGTATGCAATAATTTCGCAAAATCATTCTGAACCTAAGGAAAAAAATGTTTCATTGTGTTTGTTTATTACTGAATTATTGTTAACTTATCTAAAATATGTTTAGTTGGATTAGGCTAAATTAAAGTGCGCTTTTTATAATAAGTTTGGTAAGTTTTCTGAAGTTCTTTTAGTACAAAAGTATTAATTTTTACATTATATAAATGAAAAAATATATATCTTTAAACGTATAAGAGAAAATTTTAGAAAGGACTTAATTTTAAATAAGTTCTTGCTAATTGACCAGTTTTTTCTATTCCGCACGATATAATATTACATATATTCATGACGTAAATTCTGGTTCCAAGACTAAAATCAGACAACTTCCTGAACTTTGAAACTCCTTTACATACTGTAAAATATACACGAGTCCATTTATACTGGGTATATTTTCTTTTTTTGATTCGTTAATTAAACGTTGGAAAAATGTGCTAAGTGTTCATAATGGGTTTATATTTTCAAAATAAGCGGAAGTAATGAGTATAACATCGTCTGAAGCGACCTACCATTAGGGGCGGTTTTCTTGAAGACTTTCACGGCGTTCACCATCGAAAAGTTGATGTAGCTGTAGATAACTCTGGATTAGAAGCGTAAGTACCACACAAGCAGTAGCTCTTGCTGCTAGAAATGGAGTCGGGTTTGACGGAAAATTCGGCCGAGGGAGAATATATACCCTTAGGGAATCCTGTTAGCGCACCGTGTATGTAGGGATTAGCATTAACCTGCAAGCACTGATGAGATTACCTAGGTAAGCATAGCTTCCTGGTGAGGCTCTCGTCACCGCAAATACGAAAACTTGTCAAAATATCTCGTTATACTGCAACATAAAAATGTCGAAACAAGTGGAGTATATATTGCCAACAGAATTATCATAAGACGTGTTTGTTCTCTTATGGTCATTTACGATGAAACTGTGAGTATCCAATTTTTTTTTCTTCACAACTTATGTACTAGAGGTTAGGTTTAACAGGAAACAGGACAAGTGTTTCCAACCAAAGGGATGGGTATTATTGGGGGGGGGGGCGAAGGGGTATTTTGAAAAATCGGTCTTAGACTTAATGATATCTCAGACAATGTAGAGTTCAGTCATGGGACTGACTCCTTCTCTAGCTTACCCAGCCTTCCTGCAAAAAAAAAAAGATGAAAAGATGACATTCTAAGGCATTTTCGTTTTCTAAGAAAATTTCGCTCGTATCATTTTAATTGCTAAAAAAAAATGCTGAAAAGTTAGCTAACTAAAACTGTGTAATATACAGTTACCTAACAAGGCGATGGTCCAAATAAAAATGTACAATAATGATGATAATGTTTTATTTATTTGAGTCTTACAAATAATGTAGATACATGGGTAGGTGCGTGAGTAATAACAGTCTATTTGATCACTGTAAAAGTGAAGCATTGAATCTTCAACCTAAAACATTAAACTCTTACAATCTATTCTCAGTGGATAATAAAAAGTGTTCATATTAATTTTCTCTTTGATTTGTATATGTGTTGACTTCTGGTCCACACTGGTAAAACATGAGAGTTAATGTTCTTATTGACCTTTTATGTACAAATGTTTGTTGTGCACGAGACTTAGTTCATGTTGGGAAGCCTAGCAACAGTCTGGTCATACTATCACCTCTGCCAGCACAATATTATACAAAAGGCTGCAAAACTATTAAGATAGTCACTATTAAGATATTCAGCACTGCTAACTAAGCTTTATTATTATATTTAAATACCAGGCAAGTTGATATAGCAACCTCATAGCACCAATAAAAACGAATTTAATATATTTTATTATAGATTTTACTTATTTGTTTGATAAGCTTTATAAAGTTACTTTGAAACGATAAAGATAATAGGTAATAGTTACTTAATTATATCAAAACAACTAATGCAACAATAATCATAATCTCGTGTAATGATCTTTATAAATCAAGTTATTAACTTAAGCGTCTCAAACGGTCGATGATTAGGAATACTATATGAAAAAATTGGCGTTTTATTTGTTCTTACCCAAAAAATAGTGCGTAATTCCACCCTAGTTTATATAACCCAACCACTCCATTTATATGCAGGTACATTTCTACGTAGTTCAGTATCAGATACAAATATATAAATGTGATGTACTTTGCAAAGCGTCCCACCACACCAGTAAATTTTCAGTTTTTTTTTTTTTAGGTGTCATTATCTGCACAAGGTCACTAAGGCTGCAGTTCACATTAACACCACCAGCCAACAATATTTAAATCCCTCAACTAGCGATTAAGGTTTTCTCTCAGCATATACACTGAGCAACGGTAGTGTACTTACACTATGTCAGTACACTACCCGCCTAACTAATTTTCACTATATGAATGACTCAATAAATCGTAATAAAACGATTGCAATCGAGTCACAGAATGTGTTGGGGCTTCAACCCGTGACAAGTGAGTCCCGTTCTGTGTTTTACTACATCATTCCGTGTGTATTATCCTGTGTGTTAGCATTTTGTCAAAGACACTTGTCGATTAGTGATCATTAGACATTTTTTTTTTTGGTGTATGTGTATAGAGGTATATGTACTCACCTAATTGTGGTTGCAGGGGTCGAGTCTCAGCTCCTGGCCCCCACCTCTTCACTGGTCACTACTAGGTCACTGTCCCTGCTCCATGAACTTCATTACCCAGACTGTTCCATTTCCTGACAACTCTGTGACTGAAGAAATACTTCCCAACATCCCTGTGATTCATCTGAGTCTTGAACTTTCAATTGTGACCCCTTATTGCTGTGTCCCATCTCTGGAACATCCTGGCTATGTGTGTGTGTGTGTTACTCTCTGTCATCTGGTCAAGCTACACAGACAGCTATTATACCATAAGATGAGCAACCAGGGACTGATCACATCATCTTGACCTTTCCACTATTTATGCAGTCTCCAAATTTACTCACCTTAGTATTGGGCTGATAAAGCCTGCAGTATAGGCGAAACGTTTGGAAATAAAAACACCGAAGTGTTGCACATGTTTATTATTCATCAACTTTTGGGTATTTTACATTGTTATAGCAATGTAAAAATCACCAATGCACAGCTATCGGTATATATAGCGTATACGCTGTGTAAATATGATATATGTGTTCTAAGAATGCAGTGATACCTATTCTTAAAATAGGTAACGTGACTTTTGTTTGTTATAATACGACCTGATAATTCTAACTAAGAATTATAGTTAGCTCTTAGAGAAAGCAGTTTAGGGATAAGGGCCATTGCTGAGGAAGAGTTTTGTTTGCATGTTATATGAGATCATATAATGAAATCACTATAAGTTAGTTTTACATTATTTGTTCATTAGTGTGTGGCGAGGGTGGGGAGGGTCTGTGTGGCGGGTCAGTCAGTCCCTCAGGTGATCCTGAAGCAGCAAAACTGTCACACAGGCTTATTGCGTCATAGCACTGTGCGTCATAATAAGAGGATTATTGCGTCATGAGATGATTCTAGACCCAGGATGAAGACGTCATAGAACACGGCAGAAGCAGTACCCTAATGAGGGCAGCACTGAGCTGGCTTCACACCAGTTCCTGCATCAACCTTCCCTGACTCTCTACCTCAGCCTCTTCAACAGACAGTAGCCAGGCAGTTAAAGAACAGATTTTCAGTACCTAGGAAAGACCTGACAAAGGCACCAAATTATAGCGTTCAAATGTATGGATGGAGAAATGATATATCCATATATTTGAAAGTTGTTTCGTAATTCTCCAGTGTAACACATGAATTTCTCACAATTTCCCGTATGTGGTCTTAATTCTTTGTGTAGCCTAATTTTGCTTTCTCCGATTTCCCTTACATGGTATTTATCTGCATTTTAAATTCCGTCATCCATCATCATTCCCTGTATTCACTTTATCTACGTCATCTCGTAAAGATTAACATTTTTATTGTTAATTTTACATAAGAGTTTTGGAGCGTCTCCAAACATATTCATAAAGTTTTTCTTTTTAAATCCTTCTGGTAAGTTATTTATAATAATTTAAAACATTACTTAAAACATTTTCGAATTCCTGGACATGGAAGGGGAAGCTGTTAGTGTGCAGTTAGGGTACGAGTGTTTATATATATATATATATATATATATATATATATATATATATATATATATATATATATTATATATATATATATATTTTTATATATATATTTTACATGTATATATATATATATATATATATATATATATATATATATATATATATATATATATATATATATATATATATATATATGTGTGTGTATATCGTGCCGATAGGTAAAATTAGTCTTTTGTAGAACTCATTTAAAATTAAGTCCTTTTTAAAAATTTCTCTTGAAGAATTTTTTTCATTTATAATGTAAAAATTAATAATTTTGTACCAAAAAAAATTAGAAAACTTACCTAGCCTTATTATAACAAGCACAATTTAATTTGTCGGTTTTCATAAACCATTTATCACTTCATTGTGTTTGTTTATTATTAAATTATTGTAAACTTATCTAAAATATATTTAGTTGGATTAGGCTAAATTAAATTACGCTTCTTATAATAAGGTTAGGTAAGTTATCTAAGGTTCTTTTGGTACAAAAATTATTGATTTTAACATCAACATTATGAAAAAAATATTTCTTTAAGATAAATTTTTGGAATATAGGGGGTGGTAGAAGAAAATATTCAAACAGCTTCGGGGAGAATTTGTGTATTCAATAATTTTGCAAAAATCATTCTGAACCTAACGAAAAAAATATATGTAATTGCGTTTGTGTATTATTAAATTATTGTAAACTTATCTAAATATATATTTAGTTGGATTAACTAAATTAAATTGTGCGTGTTATAATAAGGTTAGGTAAGTTTTCTAAGGTTCTTTTGGTTCAAATTATTAATTTTTACTTTAACATAAATGAAAAAAATATATCTTTAAACGTATAAGAGAAAATTTTAGAAAGGACTTAATTTTAAATGAGTTCTTGCTAATTGACCAGTTTTACCTATTCGGCACTATATGTGTGTGTGTGTGTGTGTGTGTGTGTGACTCCTGAATAACTGTATTTAACGGTCGTAATTTTTTCCTAGAGCTGTCGGGAGATTTGTATGTGAGCGAGCCAAAACTCTTGCCAGCAGCTCTATTACTGTACCATGAGCCTGCCCGTAATGAGGTCATTCATCATGTCTTGTACTATAAACTCTTCAATGTTAACAGGTACCAACTGCGGCACGATGCAAGTGTGTGTGAGTGTGTACTCACGTAATTTTGGTTGCGGGGGTCGAGTCATAGCTCCTGGCCCCGCCTCTTCACAGATCGCTACCTACGTCCACTCTCTCCCTACTCCATGAGCTTTATCATACCTCTTCTTAAAGCTATGTATGGATCCTACCTTCACTACATCACTCTCCACACTATTCCATTTCCTGACAACTCTGTGACTGAATAAGTACTTTTAACATCCCTGTGACTCATCTGAGTTTTCAACTTCCGGAATGTTTCAGAGTTGTTGCTGCTGCACATCTCTGAAGCATTCTGCCCCTATCCACCCTGTCAGTTCCTCTGAGTATTTTATATGTTATCATGTTCTCTTAACCTCTCCTCGAAGGACAAACCCCTCAGCTCGGGGACTAGTCTTTTTGCAAATCTTTGCACTTTCTCTAATTTCTTGACGTGTTTG